CTGCTTCCTTTTCACAAATGTGCTGGAAGGCATCTGCTACTTTCTTCTTTATCTAAATATCTCGTTCTAGTGCAGCACTAGCTAGGTATTTTTAGACCTTAAAAATATCGTGCCCATAGATAAAGGAAGAAAAGAAGGAGATAAGGAGAATGAGAGAGTGGACTGGAGAAAGAAAGAGGAAGGGAAGGAAGGAGGAAAGTTGTGGGGCTAGATATACACAGAGAGAAGAGAGAGCAAACAAAACAAAACAAACAAGACAAAGCAAAAAAACCCCAGTGACTCTGACAGAAGGGAAGAGACGGCAATAAAATTTGAATGTTTAAATATTTTTCCTGTATTTCAAAGGCTATTTGGAAAACATTTGGAAAACATCACTAACCCAGTGCTATAAAATTTATCTTCGGCCCCAGATGGACTGTATTCACGTGTCATTTTTGTCCTTTCTAACAAACAGTGGCTAAAGACCAGCTTAATTAGAGAAGACTGCTCCTGCAGACTTTTGTCTATGGCTGAGTACATCAGTGGGTTCGCTAAGTAGTGTGATGATCAGGTCATTGAAGAAAGTAAACTCTGAAACATGATCTTTGTTCACTCTGACATGGAACTTTGGAGTCAATGTAAGGAAAACATCAAGCCGTTAGCAAAGGAATCATACCTCATTGTGTGAGGCATACTGCAGTTTTGTTTCAATACAAATCTGCTTTAAAATTTGTTCTAAAGTTTTTACGCATGACCACTCACAAAAGTAATGATTGGAGTTTCACTATTTTGTGTTGTTTAAAAATATGGCTGTGTTGCTGGGTGCTGGTAATTCTAGCTACTCAGGAAGCTAAGATCTGAGGATCGTGATTTAAAGCCAGCCCAGGAAGAAAAGACAGTGAGACCCACCAATTATCCACATGAAAACCAGAAATCAAGCTTTTCCTCAAAGTGGTAGAGTTCCAGCCTTGAGCACAAAAGCTCAAGGACAGGGCCAAATCCTAAGATAATGACAGTGGATATCAAGATGATAAGCAATGGGTATTATGAATGTGCTCAGGATACAAAATGTTACATCAAAATAGCCTCCACAGTCTGGGAAGCTATGAAAGTATTTTTTTTTTTTTTTGCCAGTCCTGGGGCTTGAACTCAGGGCTTGGACACTGTCCCTGAGCTTCTTTTGCTCAAGGCTAGTGTTCTACTACTTGAGCCACAGTGCCACCTCTCTCTCTCTCTCTCTCTCTCTCTCTCTCTTTGTTTGGTACTGAGGAATTGAACCCAGGGCTTTATGCATGCTAGGCAAGCATTCTACCACTAAGCCACATTCCTAGTCTGATGACTCTATTTGATGTGGCAACAGACCCACTGCTTAGGATGTCATGCTCTAGTTGTAATTCAGAGGCCACGCATCAATTCCAGTTATTCTCCTTGGATATTGAGTAGCATCTTTTAAGCTTTGGATCCTAATAGATGCATTCTCGCTTTTAAAGATCCCATGCTTGGATGCAACAGAATCAGGGATGACCAGAGCATTGTGACCTACAGGAGCCCACAAGGAAGCTTCAAGTTCCCAAGCAAAGGTCAGGTCAAGGTCATGATTCCCAAAGAAGGTTTGAGCAGGATTTGCTTGACCCAGAAGTAGAAACAGTAACATCATCCTTTGTATGTTACCCTTTATTAAGAAGCACATGAAACTGTGGCTTTGCTCATGGAAAAAATAATCCCAAGTAAACAATTAATACCAAGAAAACAATACTAAATAGGGCATACTATGAATACCTGGCCAATATTTATTTTTTTGTCCATGAGAAGTCATAAATAGATGAGAAGTTGGATGGCAGGCCCCCATGGATCTCAGAGCATGCTGATGAGGTCAGATGACCTGGTAATTAAGACAGATTCTCCATGCTTGTAGAACAGTTAAGTTTGATGGCTCATGGCACATAAATGAGACATGCGTGGGATCGACTCTCACACATCGTAGGCGGCTCTCATTCGAGGCACATTCTCAGCCACGCTGCCTCACTGTTAGTGGGTTTTGTCCGCAAAAGTATGTAGCAAGCAGAGAGCTCTTTTCTACTGGAATTTTAAGGAGGAATTTTTTTTCCCCCATCATTGGCTTAGTTTGCTTTTGGAGTATGCAAGACTATATTTTAGAAAGTCTTTAAGTCACCGAATCTGACCTTCTTGTCTAAATGGCACTTAATGTTTTACTAATAGAGAAGCTGAACACAATGCCTGATCCATGATAAAGAGCATTGTCTCCAAGGGTGGGGGGGGGTTCATATTTCTAGGGTATTGCCAAAACATTGTTTCGTGTATAACTTTTTTTTTATATATTTTTTTCAAGACTTATCCAGAGTGTATAAGAAAACCTGAATGATAAATTTGATTTCTGGCCATGATAAATTGATCATTAAGAATATTAGAACATAACAGAATATTGTATCTTCTATCTATGTCTTGTCTTGAACTCTTTAGGCCTTCAGTGATTCGAAGTATTGATCTCTTTCATGCTGACTGCAACTTTGTCTCCTGTATACTCCCTGTAGCTCAAGGTCATGAGAGACAGAGCAAGGTAAGCAATCTCATTTGTATGAGGAATGTTTGTCTGTCATTTAGGAGAGCTTAAACCAAGCAAGGAGAACATAGCATTATTGCATCCAAAAAAAAAAATCATTTCTTTGAGCCAGTGGCTTGAAATGGCTCATGCATGTAATCCTAAATACTCAGGAGGCTTAGATCTGAAGGATCTCAGTTGGAGGCTTGCCTGGGCAGAAAATTTCACTAGGTTCCATGTCCAAAATAGGCAATTTTTTTTTTTTAAAAAAAAGGCTGCACATGAATTTTAAGTGGTAGAGCACCAGATGAGCAAGCTTCTGAGTAAAAACACTAGTACTTCAAAAAAATTATTTGTTTGTGTGGAAAAACAATAATCTTGAATGCCCTCAGGAAAAATAGACGTAAATCAAGCAGTGCCTGACCCCATGACATAGAATTCAAGAGGGCATGGAGTAACTGTCCCAAATCCCAGTGGAAAGGGCATAAGGGCATCTTCTGCCACCCCCGCAACCCTTAACTGCTACAGAACAGAAGTGACCCCAATGCTCGGAACACAGATAATAAGATGGATACACAGGCCCATGTGTGTGGTTTAAACAGTGAACCTTGGATATTCCAGGACCCTGAACTTGACCTATGTCCTCTATGAGTGAGAATCACTCAAAAGCAACATGTCAGTTGTGTGTCCAGCAGCCAGATTTCACATGATCCAGGCTACCCACTTGAAACCAGAGCCTGGGAACAGGGCCTCAGTAGAAACTTACGCATATAAGTCTGAGTTCACTGGGATATCTTGTCAATCCTATACACGGAAAAAGAGAGCACATTCCAAAGGGGACAGACAGAAGCAAATCTAGAAGAAGAGTTAGAAAATTTCAAAGAAGGGGCTCTAAAGAATGAGGGGGCCCTAGGATACAGTTCCAGCTCCTTGCTTGACAGGTCTGAGTGATTCTGCCAATCATTTCTGCCAGTCCTAGGCATAGCTTAAAGGAGCACCAAAGAAAAATGTTCAGTTCATCTCATGTATAAGCTTTTTTTTTTTAATAAAGATTTTTTTTTTTATATTGTAAAGATACTATACAGAGGGTTACAGTTACCTGAGTGAGGTAATGAGTACACTTCCTATTGAACATTGTTACCCCCTCCATTGTTTTCCCCCTACCATCTCCTCCCTTCCCCGAGGTTCTTTTTTTTTTTTTTTTTTGATTGTGACTAAGTGATTACATAATTTCCAGAATTTCACAGTATTGTGGAATAATGATGCTCATTTAAAGTCACAAGTTCATTCTAACTTTCTTGGAGCAAATTGTCTATCACAGTCTGTAACATATAACGGTGTTCACATGTTATACACCATACATGCATTCAGCAGCATGGGGATATTTAGTAGTGGTTCGACCAGATGAGTGAGAGTTCTTTGTTTTTTAAGTCCTGTTAGTTTTGTCGTATCACCTAACATTTTGGATTTAGCATCCACTTATCAGGGAGACCATGTACCGTTTGTCTCTTCGCTCTTGGCTTACCTCGCTCAACATGATTCCTTCTAGCTCCATCCATTTCCCTGCAAATGCCATTGTTTTGTCATTTCTAATGGCTGCATAATATTCCATTGTGTACAGATACCACAATTTTTGGATCCATTCATCTGTGGTGGGGCATCTGGGTTGTTTCCATATCCTAGCTATTGCGAACAGTGCTGCAATAAACATGGAGGTGCACGTGTCCTTGTATATTGGTTCCTGTTGTTCAGGTAGATGCCTAGAAGTGGTATGACTGGGTGGTAAGGGAGGTCAATCTTTAGCTTTCTAAGGACCCTCCAGACTGCTTTCCAAAGTGGTTGTATAAGTATACATTCCCACCAGCAGTGTAATAGGGTTCCTCTTCCTCCACATCCCCTCCAGCATTTGTCGTTGGCTGATTTGTGGATGTGGGCCATTCTGACTGGGGTAAGGTGGTATCTCAGGGTTGTCTTTATTAGCATTTCCTTCACCACCAGGGATGATGAACATTTCCTCATGTGTTTCTTTGCCATTTTTATTTCTTCATTTGAGAAGTCCCTCTTTAGTTCCCTTGCCCATTTAGTAATTGGTTTGTTAGGTTTGGGAGGGATTAGTTTCTTGAGTTCCCTGTATATACAGGATGTTAACCCCTTGTCTGATATATTGCTGGTAAATATTTTTTCCCAATTCGTTGGTTGTCTTTCTAGGTTGGTTGCGATAGATTTAGCTGTGCAGAAGCTTTTTATTTTAAGGTAGTCCCACTTGTGGAGTCTCTCTCCAACTTGTTGTGACCCTGGGACTCTGTTCAGGAAGTTCCTTCCTGTACCTATTAGTTCAAGTGTTTCTCCTACTCTGTCCTGCTTTGTGTATAACTTTAAAACAGAAAACAAAGAACTATTGAAACCCAAAAGATACATCTTCCCTTCCCGCCCCCCCCCCCCCCCAGAAGAAAATTCTTACCAGGTTCAGCTGTAGATCTGGGTTCTTTTTGTCACAGGAGAAAGAAAATAAATCAGAAAAGAATATTAGGATAGGGTTCTATTAAAATGAACCTACAGCTCTCTTCTTGTTGTCTAGTGTAGAACACATTATAGACAATTTCTACAAGAGAAAGTTCCAGCGACAACGTATAAATGTCTCTTCCTATAAATATAACAAGTTGAGTTCCAGGAACACTTTAAAGTATTATTTAAAGACATAGTTGTTAAGTGGATTATGGACTTGTGAACTTTCTAAAATTATTTGCCTGACTTGGAGTACACATGTGAAACCTTTTTTTTCCCTTGGCTGTGGGGCTTGAACTCTGGGTCTGGGCGCTGTCCCTCAGCTCTTCAGCTCAAGGCGAGTGCTCTACCACTTGAGCCATAGCACCACTTCCTGTTTTCTGGTAGTTTCCTGCCTGGGCTGGCTTTGAACCGTAATCCTCAGCTCTCAGCCTCCTGAGTAGTAAGGATTAACAGGTGTGAGCCACCAGTGCCTGGTGTGAAACTCTTTCTAAAGAAAGAACATAGAACTTGTATCAGATTCAAAGGTGCCTCAGTTTTAGTTTCCTGGGCCCTGTTACACAGTGCCTTATTGACTCTTGTGCTTTTCGAAAATAGAAATCAACTCATTTGAATTGATTTTCAATCAGCATTTCTCCCTGTTTTCCCTGAAATCAGATGGACTGGGATAGTCAGCTGGGGAGACGCAGTCGTGTCCCCTTACTTTTTTGTAGAATTCGGAAGTCTGGAGAGTCTTGGATCTCAATTCCTTGGCGGGACCACTGCACCTGTAGAGGGGGCGCCCCTCGAACCCGGCACTCCAGGACGACCACCTGGCCCTCCGAGGCTGCCGTGTTCTGCAGCTCCTGAAATTCAAGCAAAAGGCTTTCCCTTAGACGGTGTATTCTTAAACAGTTTCACAACAGAGATATAATTTACAGACCTCAGTCCCCAAACAGCAAGCAAAACAAAAATCCCTGGCAGAGCTCGTATTCAAACAATTACCTTTAATAAATACCTGTAAGCTATTCATAATTTCTTCATCATGAATGAGTGATGTTTATCACCGTAGGCTCTGAAATACATGTGGCCTATTTATAAATTTGTATTGACTATTTTTTACCTTATTTAATGGAATTAAAGGTCACTGAAACTCTTTAGCAGTACTGGGGTTTGACTCAGAGCCTTGCTTCTGCTGAGAGTACTCAGCCCTCTTCCCTTTCCCTTTCCTTTTCTCTTTCCCTTTTCCTTTCCTTTTCCCTTCCCTTCCCTTCCTTTCCTTTTCCTTTATAGGATCTTGCATTTATACCAGGGCTGGCCTGGGTCACACCCTATCTATGGTTCTATATTGTTGGGCCAACAGGTGCGTGTGCCATTGTATCCAGCTTTTTATCAGTTGAGATGAGATCTCATGAACTCTTTTGCCTGGCTGGACAAGCTCTTCCTTCAAGTAGCCAGTATTACAAGTAGGAGCTATCCCTCCTGGTAACTTGTTACTTTTTCTTTATATTTAATAAGCTGGTGGAATGCGAGTTTCTTAAAATAATTACACAACAAATGACTATAGATCTTTAGAAGAATCAAAGAAGACAAGAAAGAAAAGCCATTTGTTTTCATAAGCTCCAACCTTTTCATGCACTCCCCCGTTATCTCTGCTCAACTTGTTTTCCGTGGCAGCTTTATGAAGCTAAGGGGTTTGGGTATTTTCTCATTTCGAGATCCTCAGTAAAATAACAAAACATCTGTACTTCCACACTGACCTTCATTTCCTCCTTCCTTACCACTGCCTGTTGCTTTCACGCTCCTCCAACTCTAGACCAATAAATTTTTACAATCTAAAAGATTAGAAATTAATTTGGCTTCATAGATGCCACGTGGTAAGGCTTTAGGGATTGTTAGGAACCATGAGGATCTATGTCCTCTCTTTCCCATCCTCCTCTAAGTGGGAACTTTAACCTTTTGACGATATAAACTTGTAAGCAGAGGACCAGATCAAATACAAAGCATATAGACCTCTTTAAGTAATTCAATCATGATACAGTAACTCATCTGTACATAAAATAAAGCAAAAAAAAATCCCCTCTCTCATATTGGAAGAGTGTGTGGACTCCTGATACGTTGTTTTGTGGGTGTTCGTTTTAATTGTTTGAGGGAACAATAGATAATCACAAATTCTACAGCCCATGAGAAAAGCAAATGTGGAAACAAATGGCTTGTAGCAAGTGTGTTAAAGCACTATGAAAATTCTGAAAGTCTGTGATGTTGGCAGTGTAATGGGAAGTGTAAGGGGAAGTCTGATTTGACATTTGGTAAGAATTTTGGATTTGAACTCAGGGTCTTTATGCTTCCTAGGTAGGGATGCTACCGATTGACCCAGGCTTCTAGTCTTTTATGTTCTGCTTATTTTTGAGATAACATCTCAGAGTTTGTCTAGGGCCAGCCTAGACTGGAATCCTCATGGTCTCAGCCTTCCATGTAGTCAGGGTGACAGGTAAAGACCATTTTGCCTTGCTCTTAGTTGAGAAGGGATCTTTACAATGCTTTGTCTGAGCTGGCCTCAAATCTTTATCCTCTGGAACACTGCCTTCTGAGTAGCTATGATTATATCTACTCTCTCTCTCTCTCTTCTTCTTCTCTAGTAAAGCTTAAGTAAAAGTACCAACTACTGATTTCATTTCTTCTCCATTCTTTTTATTCCCATTCTTATTTTTAAATGTAAAAAGATCTCTGGCTTAAAATTAAATTTTTTTCTTTTTTTTTTTTGCCGGTCATGGGGCCTGAACTCTGGGTCTGGGCGCTGTCCCTCAGCTCTTCAGCTCAAGGCTAGCGCTCTACCACTGGAGCCACAGCACCACTTCCAGCTTTTTCTGTTTATGTGGTGCTGAGGAATCGAACCCAGGGCCTCATGCTTGCAAGGCATGCACTCTACCACTGAGCTACGTTCCCAGCCCTTAAAATTAAATTTTGAAAAAAACAATTAAATGTTGACTTTGTGATGGGAGCCAAAGAAGAAATGGCTAAGTGGTTCAAAACACCATTTCACCCATGGGGTCCAGCATCTATGGGCTGAGCTGTTAAATATCTCCAGTAATGTCCAGGAAGCCATTCATGATAGGTGACAAATGGCACCCAAATATTTTTCATGCTTGAGCTTTCAGGCACCAGAGGAGACTGATTTATTCCTAAGACTATGTAGGGTTTTTTTTTTTTTTTTTTGAGAGGAGGGTGTTGGAAAGTCAGTAATGAAAAAATGGGCATACATCAAAGAATGAAGGCAGATCAAACTGTAGCTATTATTCGAGGACACTTGGCTTCTCTTGTAGAGTGAACACACAATACACTCATGCACACACACATACACACTTATCCTGCATAGCTAGGATTATAGATGTGAGCTACCAGTGCCTGGCAGAAGACACATTTATACAATATTTTGAGTTCATCTATGTTTTGCCTGCAACTTGGAACATGAGGTAAAGTGTGGATTTTCCATGTCAGCACATAAAGAGTATTGGATTTTGGAGCATTCCGGGATTCTCAACCTTCATCATAATTAGTATTCATTTAGAAAGTCTTTATATTTCATAGGACAAGTCCCTTTCCTTTTCAAGCATGACTTTGTTTTTTGTTGTTTTTTTGTTGATTTTTTCTTCTCTAGCAGTGCCCTGACTATAATTGATGATTTAAAAAATTCCTCACATTTTTAAAGAATCAGTTTACTAAATTCTATACTAAAAAATAAACAGAAATTAAAAAAACATATTGGGATTTTTTTAAAGCAAGATTTGTACTAACTATATAATCAAGGAGTAATGACTTTTTGGTCTTTCAGTCTACAAGAATGATAGATCTCTCTATTAATTTGGTCTTTCAATACAGCTTCCAATAACGGTTCATAAATTTCTCTGCAAATAGAAAGAAAAAGAAAAGAGAAGAAGAGAAGAAAAGAGATATGTTTCAGGATCTTAGGAAAATAAAATTACCCAGTATTTTTTGAAATAGGTGAAAACTTGTTAGATCTTGCAAGCAATTTCCTTGGGACAGGCAAGGAAGGTCTTAATACTGTATGCGTCTTATTTTTCCTTATCTCACATCCCTGTCTCTCAGGCCTTCCCCAGGGCCACAGGCACCCAGCAGCTCCTCAAAATGCCTTTTTACCCCCAAAGGTAACTCTTTGAATTAAGTGTATGGATCTGCTCATTGTACTTTTTAAAAGCTGCGACATGGAAGAAGCCACATGTGAATGAAATTTAAGGACCAAAGCAAACATGGAGAATGAGGTTTCCAGCTGTCAGACCTTTGTAAAAACAGGAGGAAAGCAGGCTGAGGTGGTTCCATCGGTGCGGCAAAGATGTGCAGTTGGACTGTGAACCTGAAAGAGCAGAGGCACGCATAGATGAGAGTCTAAATATGTACATCGCTGTAGGGATGGGCTAAACTTACCTTTCCTTCTTGGGCTGGCTCCACCTGAATGAAACAAATAAAAGTTTGACCATTCATCATGCCCTCGTCTTCTCTTACAGTGTGGACCTTGTTCTGCTTCCTCGTTCCACATCTGTTACTCTTCTCTGTTCAAAAGGATATTCAAGGTAAATGTTCCTTTAGGTCCCTGAGGACCTGTGGGCTCTTAAATGCTATTACCAAATGGATTTCTGTGTGTGGGACTTCCACCAGGGTCTTTTTTAGAAGTTCTCACAGATGTTATATTTTATTTTAAAATACAACCTGGATTTGTGGAGTCAAGAGTATAAGATGTTGGCAGTGGAAGGCAAAGTAGATGATCAAAACAGGGCCCTATGTTATTGTTGTGTTTTGAATCTTACACTCTTTCAATAAAATTGTTACAGAAAATAAGGAAAATTCTTTCTGATGTGCCAATTCTATTCCCCCCCCCCCCCCCCAAAACCAACACCTCTACTACCAACAGGTATGGAAATACACAGTGGCATTCATCTCTGGGAAAATTTAAGGATTTCAGAACAGTAAATGGAAAACAAATTTTTTTTGGTGCATGACCACTTACTTTCAAACAATCTTATACAAGTGGTTGGTAGCTCTTCACCGGCAAGTGCTGACGTGATATTATGTGTCTAAAGGTACCCCAGGACATCAGAAGGTTTGACCGAACTGTGGAAATGCTGACATAATAATGGACCTTATTCATTGTTTCTGTAAGACTTCACTGGCTTGTAATTCAGGAGGTCTAGGTTTCATCTTTCGCTGTGTTTTGGATCCACTGAGAAATATGAACCTATTTTGTGCCACATTGTTTCAAGTATCATGTCAAGATGAAACTTCCTGATAACCTGTGAGGTGGGTAGTGTGAGCATCTCCATTTTACAGATGAATAAAGTAGGCACAGAAGGATTGATTTCCTCAAGGTCCCTCAGTAAGTGGTAGAGCTTGGATTCGAACCTAGGCAGTCTGGCTTGAGGGTGGTCATATCTATGTCTCATTGTCTGTAACAAAGAAATGATGGAATTCCCCTGAGTACTTCATTCACCCAGCTGTAAAAGAGAGATGCAGTCACTTTTAACTCAGTGTTCCTGTTGAATTAAGACCACTTAAAAATGCACTCTTCACATCCGTATAGTATTGACATCTATAAGTAAATGTGTGCCTTTCTGTTCTTAGATATCTATTACAAATTAATAAGCTCTCCACATTTAAGAGGTAATAGGTCTGTATTTCCTGTTTCTCAGACAAACTGGAAGTGATGTTGATGAGATCTTTTTCTGCCATGGAATGTCTAGCACAGTGTTTAGCATTCAACATTTGTCAATAGTTAAACATCAAAGCTATGGATTTAGTCAGAGGTAGTTTGGATATTTTATTATGGTATAGGGGTTTAAAGGAAATCTCTACTAGATATGCTGTCTTTGGGTTACTTCTACTGGTTAATTCTTTTCAAGTTTATCAACCCACATGTCTTTACTATATATCATGCACTGTAGTTACCCAGACAGCTCTGAATGCTCGCTACATAGATATTCAAGGTGAATGGAAGGAACCGTGATACACCTGTTACACAGTTCTCAATCAGGCAGGGGTGAGTTCACATTTTGAGAGTGTGGAAGAAAGACTTCTATGAATGTTGTATTTAAAGATGACTATCATATACAGATTTTTTTCTGTAATTTGATGCTTACAGAGTGAATACACCAAGGATTACTTCCCAATAGGTTCTCTTACTGTTCTTTCTTAGACAAAAAAGTATGGTGAGTCAGGTACTGGTGGCTCACAGCTATAAACCTAGCTACTTAGGAGGCTGAGATTGGAAGATCACAGTTCAAAGCCAGCTCATGCAGGAAAGTCTGTGAGACTCTTATCTCCAATTAACCACCGTAAAACTGGAAGTGGAGCATCTGTAACTCAAAGTGGGAGAGCACTAGCCTTGAGCAGAAAAGCTCAAGGATAGCACCCAGGCACTAAGTTCAAGCTCCATGACTGTTAAAACAAAAGCAAAGCAAAAACAACCAACAATAAAAACCCAAACCCCACATTTCAATGGAATGTGCTTTAAAACAAGAAAAAAAATTCAATGTCACAGTCTTAAAATGAAGCAGTTAGTGAATCGACTCCACGGACTGGGGCCCTTGTACAATTACCTGTTGAACAGGGACTGACAAAGGCTGAATCACAGCTGTGGTTACTCCTGTCTTTGGAGAGGATGCTCCTATGGTCAAGGAAACAGAAGTTGTTTTCTTTTGAGCTCTGGAAAATATAGAAGCAAGGGCTCAGTTAGAACATTTTCTTAGAAATGATCTCTTGAAATACTTCTACAGAAGACTTGCTTTTTTTTGTTTGTGTATGTACTTTTTCCCTCACAAAATTGCCCAACTATGGAATTGGCCTTGGTATCTTTAATCAAGAATGCATAAAGAAAATGTGGTATACATTGATCTTCTCTTTCACTTTTTATCTTGATTTTTCTTTTTTTAATTTTATTTTATTGCAAGGGTGATGCATAGAGCGGTAATAGTTACCTAAGTAAGGTGATGAGCACATTTCATGTCAAACATTGTTACCCCCTCCCTTGTTTTCTCCCACCCCACTTTCCTTCCTCCCCACCCCCTCCCCTGCCACCGAGTTGTAAAGTTCATTTCCAACGTAGTGTCTTATGAGTGTCGCTGTTGCATTGTTTCGCCTTTTGTTCTTTGTCTCACCATTTTGTGATTTCCCCCTTTCCTTCCACAAATCAGATAAACATATATAAAAGACACAGGGTACCAAAATAAAAAACAGTGACAACAGGGGAAAAACCAAAGTGGGTGGGGAACAAAGGAAAAAAGAAATAACTTCACATTCCATGTCTTGGAGTTCATTTTGATTATCATCACTCTATATGGTCATAAGTACATAGCTATTGAGCTAATATGATCCTCTGCTAGGAGTATCCTAGACATACACTAATTATTTCAAATAAGGGAAGCCGTGGAGCTTATGTTTCTGGGGGGTCTGGCTTACTTCATTTAATATGATTTTTTCCAAGTCTGTTCATTTCCTTATGAATGGGGCGATGTCATTCTTTCTGATGGAGGCAGAGAATTCCATTGTGAATATATATCACATTTTCTTGATCCATTCATCTACTGAGGGGAAATTGGGTTGGTTCCGTATCTCAGCTATGATAAATAATGCTGCACTGAATACAGTTGAGCTGGTAGCTTTAGTGTGGCCTTGTTTGTGATCGTTTAGATAAATATCCAGGAGTGGGATTGCTAGGTCATAGGGGAGCTCTATGTTTAGTCTTTTGAGGAACCTCCATATTGCTTTCTAGATCTCAATAGATGCAGAAAAAGCATTTGACAAGATCCAACACCCCTTTATGATGAACACTCTGGAGAAACTAGGAACCATGAAATATTCTCAATATAATAAAGGCTGTATATGACAAACCTACAGCCAGCATTATACTTAATGGAGCAAAGATAAAACCATTTCTTCTAAAATCAGGAACAAGACAAAGATGTCAACTCTTCTCCACTCCTGTTCAATATTGTATTGGAATTCCTAGCCAGACAAGAAGACAAGAGACAAACATAAAAGGGATCTAACAGGGAAAGAAGAAGTAAAATTCTCCCTCTTGGCAGATGACATGATCCTGTATTTAAATAACCCCATAGACTCCACTCCCATGTTACTTGAGCTGATGCAAAACTTTGGCAAAGTAGCAGGGTATAAAATTAACCCACAAAAATCAGTAGCTTTTCTATATGCCAACAAATAGAAGAGGGAGGCTGAAATCAGGAAAGTAACTCCTTTTGTAATGGCATCAAAAACAACAACAACAACAACAAACCTAGGAATTAAGCAAAGAGGTGAAGGATCTCTATGATGAAAACTTTAAAAACCTGCAAAAGGAAACTAAAGCAGATTTAAGGAAGTGGAAAAACCTCCCATGCTCCTGGATTGGGAAGATTAACATTGGGAAAATGGCAATACTGCCCAAAGCTATCTACAAATTCACTGCAATACCTATCAATATCTCCGCAACATTCTTTAATGAAATAGAAGAAGCAATTAAAAAATTCATATAAAATAATAGAAACCCCAAATAGCAAAAAAAAAATCCTTAAAAGGAAAACAGTGCTAGGGGAATATCATTACCAAACTTCCAACTGTATTATAAAGCTGTCATAAAAACAGCTTGGTACTGGCACATGAACAGCACTGAGGACCAGTGGAATAGAATTGAAGACCCAGAAATGATCCCACAGACCCTGAAAATATTACAGGAAGGATAGGGGATATACTAGGGCTCTTTGGCACAGGTTGAAACTTCCTAAATACAAATCCAGAAACACAACAAATCAAAGGAAGCTGGATGAGTAGAATTGCATTAAACTGTAGAGCTTCTGCATGGAAAAGGAGATAGCTAGCAAGATAAATAGAAAGCTCACAGACAGAAGAGCTTCACTAGCCATAACAAGGGCCTCATATCAAAACTATACCTAAAGTTAAAAAAAATTAAACCTCCCCAGTAACAAAAACAACCACCCCATTAATAAGTGGGCTAAAGAACTTTAAAGAGATTTCTCTAGAGAGGAAATAAGAATAGCTAATAGATGCATGAAGAAATGTTCAACGTCTCTGGACAAAAAGGAAATGCAAATCAAAACCACATTATGATTCCACCTCACCTCAGTTAGAATGGGCATTATCAAGAAAACAAATAACAGTAGATGCTGGTAGGGATGTGGCAAAAAGGGAATTCTGCTACACTAGTGGTGGGAAAGTAAACTGTGTATATACATCTTGTAACTGCAATTGTTTCAGAAACTGGACCTCAACAATCTACAGTTGAAATACCTGTCGTGGCTGTTTGCATAATATAAGATTTGTAGATATTTAGAAAAATGAATACAAAATTGAAAGGAAACCATCTAGAGTTAACTCAAAGATCCTAAAGTATTAACCATGAAAACCCTAATAGAAAGTTAAATCCTTGGGAGAGGTCCAATGTTTATCCATAGAGAGATATTTGAAATCTTCACGATTAGGGTCCTATATTTAACTCAAAGTTTTACGTGTCTATTTTAGGCCTAGCAGCTGTTCTTGTGCTGGATTCCAATTTTGTGGAGAGTATCTTGGAATTTTTGTCTTAGTGCATAGATAAGGGCAAGATTAAGAAGAATTTTTGCCATTGTTGAATGGCTGGCTGTACAATCTCAAGCAAGTCCTATGACATCACTGAATTTGAACTTCCTGGTTTAGAGCCCAGGCTGACCTCCAACTCTTTCTCCTCTTGCTGTAGCATCCTGAGTGCTGGGATTGCAGGCATGTGTTTAGCTTTGACTCTATCTGAAATCGATGGTGGAAAAGTATATGATCTTATAAGTATGCTTATAGCATCTGTGAATATTTGGTAGAATGGACATACTTTTATTTTTTTACTGGTTGTGGGTCCTAAACTCTGGGCCTGGATGCTGTCCCTGAGCTCTTTTGCTCAGGCTAACACTCTACCACTTTGAGTCACAGCTCCACTTCCAGTTTTCTAGTGGTTAATTGGAGATGAGTCTCAAGGACTTTCCTGCCTGGGGTGGCTTTGAACTGGGATCCTCAGATCTCAGCCTCCAGGGTAGCTAGGGTTACAGAGCCACACTGGTAGCTGATATAATTATTTTTTTATGAAGCTTACATATTACCATTGTCTTTTTAAATTGTACAGATTTGTTGTATACAATGTGGTAATTCAGTACAAGTATACAGCATGTCCTAATTAGATCAGGGTAGTTGGTGTAACAAATAAAGCCATCTAACAGCACATATCAATATTAATGGTATTTCTTACCACCTTCTGGTAGATTTTATTTTTGCAAAAGAATGAAGATAGTAACGTTTTCTGACCAATCCATATGGCTTTGTAGAAATCACTAAATTTTGTATAAATTTGTGGTATAAGATCTTAGCCAGTGATGGATTTTACCCAAATGAAAATCAATTTCTGGCTCAAATAGGTATTTTTTGGCCCTCTTTTACATCTCGGCAATGATTTAACTGATTTTCCTCTCTATGTGACAGCTACTTAAATTGAAAATCAGTTCAGTGATTGCTATTGCCATTAACATTGGTATATTCAGCATATTGATGATGAAATGCAGACTTCAATGTTCCAATTTTTAACTTAAAAATTGTGATCCAATTTCAAATATTTGATCTCTGATGGGTAAGAGTTAACTGTGCCAGTCCAAGCCCAGCATTCTTGGATTTAGGCCTCAACCGTTGACATCCTTTGTTATGTTAATAATTCAACAAATCAGAGACACTTACTGTGGCATTGCTCCAGCTTTTGATCGGCAAGCTAAACTGTCACTGTCAGAATCCGTGGAACTGGCTCCTGGGAAAACATTAAGGACAGATGAAAAAGTTAAGACGCCAGTGGCATTTACAATTTCAAAGTAATGATCCTCACTTGTTTTTATTTTATTGTTAAGTAGTTGTTCAAAGAGGTTTGTATAAGTCAGGTTGTGAGTGCAACGCATCTTCATTAATGTCGCCTCTCCTATGGTCCTCTGCCGTTTTCCTCCCTCCCATCCACACTCTGAAGTTATGAAGTTTATATACATATATATAATAATAAATAAATATAATAACTGCATTTGGTCACCCTTCCTTTGTCTATTCATTTTTAAAGCAGGAACATACAAAGTCTTATTTTTCTTCAATATACAATGAAATAGAGAACAATAAAGGTGCAAATTATTTTTATTTACTGCTTCTTTTGAAGATCATTTTTAAAAAAAGAACAGAACTGCTAGAAATAGCCATCTTAAAAGAAATATGCTTTTAGAGCCAGATCTATCATTACTTGTCTTTATATTAACTTTTCCCTCTCAACCATCTTTTACATGGCTTAAAAACTATGAAACAAATGTGTTCATATAAAAAAAGTTCATAGGTTTAAACCTTAACCCTAAGAGACTATGTGGTGTGGTAACATCACTTATTAATAAGTAAGAAGATACTTTTTGATACTTGAGTAAAATTGACCATGATAGAAGGTTCATTCTTGAATAAGGTTTTTCATTTTGGATTATGCCCTTTCCTCCTTTCAAACTCATTGGATTGTTATATTCCTAAATTAATGGTCACAACCAATTTTTTTGTGTAAAAGTAATTAAACTTTGATATTTCAGTATTTACATATTGTGCATCAAGAGTTTTTTTTTTTTTTTTAATTTTTTTGGGTCCAGTCATGGGGCCTGAACTCTGGGCCTGGGTGCTGTCCCTGAGCTCTTCAGCTCAAGGCTAGCACTCTACCACTTGAGCCACAGTGCCACTCCCGGCTTTTTTTTTTTTCTGCTGATGTGGTGCTGAGGAATCAAATCCAGGGCCTCATGCATGCAAGGCAAGCGCTCTACCACTGAGCCACCTTCTCAGCCCTCAAGAGATTTTTAAGTGATGGATTTAAAGCAATTTTAGTGATTAAAAGTATACGTATAGTGCTTTCCTAATGAAATCCAATTCATTTTTGCCATTTCAATTAGCCTAAAAAATACATCCTGATGGAAAAATATCAACAGCACAGAAAACCAGTGAAGTTATTTTCCTAAAAAACATTTGACACATTTGGTGTTTACTTTTCGGACAAGTTTAAGATATCAACGTACATAAACTTCTTCACATGTTTATACAAATGGACTCTGTAATTTATGTACTACTTGCAATTAGTTACTTCTGCCCATCTGTGCATTTAGTATATATATGAAGACTCAGTTCTCCTGGATGACCTCTGGAATTTCTTCTCTTGTCTCCAGTCTTTGTCAACATTGAAATCAGTCAGGATTAGATCATACTGATAATATTTCCATCGCCCTTTTCTTATTTTTGTAACTACCATTCAACGTGGGTTTTCTTTATCTGGGTCCTGGACTCTTACCTGATTTATCTGCCTCCAAAATTTAGCTTTTCCTTACCTAAGAGTAATTCTCTTAAAGCACCCCTTTTCTGTTAAAGGACTACCATACATGAGTCTCAGTAAATGAGAACAGCCAAAAGGCTTTCATGATTTCCGATTTGATTTGATAACCAGGACTTCCTACATTTCTTTAATCCTAATCCAGAGAGAACACAGTCAATACTAATCCAGAGAACTGACACACTCAGTAGTGTATATGGCATAGGAAATGTGGCTAGTGCAGCAGAGTTGGCACACACACACACACACACACACGTAAATCGCTGCCCTCGTGAACTTTGCATTCTAGCAAGGAAACCGACAAAAGGAGAGAGGATAAAATATGTGATAAGGACCCATTGCAACAATGAGAGGTACAAGTCGTTATGTCGGAACTTAACAACTTTGGTGGGGGGTGGGGGGAGGATCAGGTGGGGGGGGAGGAGTATGGGAAGGGATGGGGAGGGGAAACAACGAGGAGGCAACAATGCTTGATAAGAAATGTACTTGTTACCTTGCCCATGTAATTGTAACTCCTCTGTGCGGTATTCTCACAATAATAAAAAGAAAAGTTTCCAGTGAAAGGGGAAAAGATAAAGCAGAGGAGGGGCAGAGAGGTGGGTGGGGCTCAAACGTTACCCGGAAATGAGGAAGGTTCTACCAGGACCCAAGGGATGAGAGGGATTTTCTGTCTTGTTTCCCTGTTTATAACTGTCCTTGTATTAGTCACTACCCTAGCATAAGCCTACCCAGACTTTCCCTGATATTTTATCTTTTAAGATCAGCCCATTTTTCTAGGCTCTGTCTTCTCTGAGATCCCAGCGTTCTTGACACAATACTTGTCACTTACCATGTCTGGTAGAAAATCATTGTGTCCCTGAGGATTGAGGAGGGGTTGGGAAGAGAGTTACCAACTTGTAAATAGATTATAATTATAATGAACCTTGCTAAGAAGTGAGCTATGTCCAGTTTGTACCTAGAAAATACCAGGTACCATGTGGTTAGGTAACTTGCATGAAGTCACATCACTAGAGAGCTGCGGTGACAGGAAGTGTACTCCTGTGGATTTGAACTCATGATGCATGATCATCTCTGTCCTTGGCGACCTTCACCCACTATGCCAGTCTGTCTTCCTTTGTGTACTTAGCTCAAGGTTTACTTAGGACAAGCCTTTACCTTCTGCTGGAATGAATGCAAGCCAAGGGAACTAGGAAGCTTGTTTGGAGAGAAGGTGTGGACTAGCAAGCTGCTAGAGGGACTGCCATGGGAGGGACCTGGTGGAAAGGGACAAAAGGGACTGCTAGGTCTGCAGTGTCTGGATTCTATTGCCAGGTCCCTGCCAAGGGATTAACAGTAGGAACCATCAAAACAAGGTTATGTACAAGGAGGAAGTTTCAATTGATAAAGTGAATGTGTAGCACAGTGCAAGTGTGTGTGTGTGTGTGTGTGTGTGTGTGTGTGTGTGTGAGACAGACAGAGACAGAGACAGACAGAGAGAGACAGAGAGAGACATACAGAGAGAGACACACACACAGAGACAGAGACAGAGAGGAAGACTCTTAGGGAACTTATCCAGACACATTTTCTCTCTCCAAGCAGTTAGAAATCAGAAACAGAAGCAACTATTGCTCACTGGATTCCAAACATTTAAAATTAACAAAAAGTGTTCTTCTCATGCCCTCTATTTGAAACGTCATTTTGGGGCTGAGGATGTTGCTCAGCTGTAGAATCCTTGCCTATTGTGCCCAAGGCCCTGGGTTTCATTTCCAGCCATGCAAAGAGGAAACAAACAAAACCCCAAATAAAAAGATGCTATTCCTGTTCCTTTTATTTCCAGTGGATTTTCAAAGAAAGAAAGGTAAAGGGTAAAAAGACATGTCCCTGAGAGCTTTTCTGCACCTGCCGAGTCCTTGTGAAATCTCAATGTCACCTTCTGTCTCAGGTGTCCTGGCAGAGACACTCTAACAGATGGTGGCAGATCAAATCCTCCAGTTCTGGCCAGCGAGTTCCTTCCCCTCCCCTCTGGGCAATTCTCCCTCCTTCTCCCTCCCCACCTCCCGCTCCTCTGTGGTGCACCTGCAGGTCAGGCAAAAGGAATGTTTATGACAGGAGGAGGTGTTTGAGAGAGAGAGTTGGTTGACTTAAAAAGAAAAAAAAAAACAGGGTTCAAAGCAGTGTCCAGAATTAGAGAAAGAAAGAGGGTACAATGTAGTCAGGGTATTCAATGAACACTATAAAAAACATGAACTATGCTACTTGTAGGCAAAAACAGGAGAGAGAAACTGGGGGAAAGAGAAGGAAGGGGTGACAGTGTCCAGAAGAATTGTACTCTTTTATCTGACTCATATAACTGTAACCCTCCTGTATATCACCTTTACAATAACAATAAAAGTGCATTACCTGAGTTATGGAACTGTAACCCCTCTGTACAATACCTTAATAATAATGACCAAATCATATTAATAGAACAGATAGAATAGTAAAATACTATAAATAAAATTATAGCACTATAAAAAAAGTGCAATGTGAACTATACATATATACAGAAAAAAAGATTAGAAAAGCAAATGTCTTAATAGTGACTGTGCTACCTGGATATATTTTGGCATAATTGTTATGTGTCTGGCATGAAGCATTTCATTCTCAAAAAGTTATTTCCTTCCCCCTTCTTATCATTGGCAGTTCTGAATGTTAGACTCTCCCCCCCACCCCACCTTGATGGAGTCAAAGATACCGAAGTATATGATTGAGAATGGAAAAATAGGGGACAGAAATCAGGTATTGGCATTTTTTCCATCTTCATTTGCATGTGAATTTTTAATACAACTGATGATATAAAGCATTAATGCAAGTCAAAATGTTTCAGTGAACAAGTGTTAGCAGTTCAACCTTATTCAACCTTATAAATAAATCTGTTAAACTTTTCTGGACAATACCAATGTTTGGGTTTTTTTTTTTTTAAAGAAGTAAATTTCTTATTGATGGCAAAAAAGAGGGACTGTGGGCTAGAGGGGTAGCTCAGGGGAAGCACCTATATGTACAGGCCTTGGGATTGATCCCTGGTGATAGAGGGAAGAGCGAGAGAGAGAGACAGAGAGACAGAGAAAGAGAGAGAGAAGAGAAAAAAAACAGGAAGACAGGAGTTATAGGACAGTGAAATTACATGTGATTTTTATCTATGTATTTTAGAGTTTTTAAAAATGAAAACATACTGTTTTTTGTTCTGGTCATAATAGCCTGTACTATGTGCCAGGTAGCACCAGGGAATTCACTCATTCAATCCTAACAAGAACCTAATTGTCTCCATTGTGTAGATGAAGAAGCCAGATCCCAGAGCCACTGAGCGCTCAAGGTCACAGAACAAGGAACTGAGCTCTTCATAAAATATTATGAACAACGTTATCAAAATAAAGAACGTGAAGAGCGGCCCACACAGTGCTCAGACCCCTTTACATTCTCTTCCCAAGAGTTTGAAATCTAGCAGAAGCAATCAATGCTTAGATTATTCGCCCGACATCAGACATCAGAGGCATTGCAGTGATGCCCAACATTCGGGCCTTTGTTTATAGTGCTAGGATCTGCAGGGAAAAATGACCCATACCACAGCACGGCACACTTCCAAATGTCATTTACAGGGGTGCACATTTTATCTGAGTATTTTATAGCATGGAAACCTACCAAGAAATATCAGGCAGAATCTGCTCCCCTGCTCCTTGCTGGTGCATTTCTGGCCCCCAACCCACCCAAGGTTGGGGCTGTTCCCCTCCTTACATAGCTACATACTCCCTTAGCCACACCAGCTGCTTCAATCCAGTTCTTTTGTTCCAATCTATCAGGGCCACACCCCCTTCTGAACTCTTCAAAGCACAGTGGTCTGTACAATCCTTTTACAGTCATGAGGAAGGAGGTGGTGGAAGGCTGAGCTGTCCGTATTTATCTTACAAGTCCATATTTACCTTTCCTCTTTACCTTGCGAAATTCTTGGCTCTGTCTCTTTCCAAACGAGAGAGGGGTGTGAATTCCATCAAAGTAGCACAGAAATGCTGCAGTGCAACCCCCTTTGGGATTTAATATATACAAATGAAAACATACAGAAAAGACGGTATCTCACTCTCCCTCTTGCAAAACCTGCTTTTCTCTCTTGGACTATTTCTCCTGCTCCTTTGGGCATTTCTGCCCCTCTCCATCCAGACTTTTGTACTCCTTCCCTGTGGCTGGTGGAGCATCCATCCTTTCCCCAGGTCTTCTCTATTGACTTGGTATTCTCCACGTTCAGGCCTCATAGGAAATACCTTCACTCCAGATTGCCCTTCTGATCAAGTCCTCCCATCGGCCACCTTCATCTCCTGCACAGACACGCCAGTGTTTGGAATTCTTAAGGAACTCCAGGTTCAGTCTTCCTCCTCTTCTAAAGTGTCAGCACTTGTCTTGTTCAGTTATTCATTCTTGGTGCCTGAGCCACCCACTGCCTGTCTCACTGTAGCTCCCCAGACACACGAGGATGGGTGAATATGTCCTGGAAATCACTGGATTGAGAACCTACAGTGTGAACCAGAGTAAGGGAAGGGTCATGCTTCTACCTCCCCAGTGACTTGCCTGTTGATATCAAATTAGCAATGTGCTTTAGGAAGGAGTTCTTGAATCTAATTTTAAGTGCTGGAGTGAGTAAACATAGCAAGTCCTTCTTTGAGGGAGTCTAAGAATGTATCTGAGAACCTCAGATACATCAGATACCTCTCTTTATTTTCCTTTGAGATAAAGACATACTAAAATTTCTCACTTAAAAAAAAGTTGACATCTCTATTTTACAAGGGCATTGAGTTGGTTTTCCTGAAGTGCTTTAGATTAGTATTAGAAGGAGGAATATCCAGGGCAGTGCCCAGCTCCTTTCTCTTTTTTTCAATGTATCTGAATCCATATACAGCCACAAATACATGGGCTGATGGTATGGGCTATGGAAGTGGGATCTGGGGGGAAAATGGAACTGAATAGAAGCAACCATCTTTGCTGGTATCTTGAGTCTGAATATACATCACATATATTAGCAGAAGTGTCTTGCTCCCAGAATGAGGAGTTTGTCCAGCTGATTTCAAAGGCAGAGGAGTATTGGGAAGCCTGAAGTGTTTACACAAAACGTAATTGGTTTAACTAAATAAAATTCAAGGTCATTCTTGTTAGAAACCGAAATTGATTTCAGAGGCAGAGAAACATCTTAATGTGAAGAGTATATAGATTGTACCTTGCACTTAACTTTTCAACTTCATTAATGTCTTTATGATACTTGTTATTTCTACATATTGCTTATAACATTATGTATTATTTTTATGCCAATACTGGACTCAGGGTCTTGTGCTCTTGCTTTGCAGTTTTTGGTCAAGTCTGTATGCTACTACTTCATCCATGACTCCATTTCTGGCTTTTTGGATTTCATGGATTTCTCTACCCAGACTGGTTTTGTTTATTCATTTTATTTATATTTATATTTTGGTTGGTTGTAGGGCTTGAACTCAGGGCCTGGGTGCTGTCCCTGGGCAGTTTTGCTCAAGGCTAGTGCTCTACCACTTTGAATCACAGCTCCACTTCTGGTTTCCTGGCAATTCATTGGAGGTAAGAGTCTCATGGCCTTTACTGCCCGGGGCTGGCTTTGAACTGTGATCCTCAGATCTCAGCCTCCTGAGTAGCTAGGATTACAGGCATGAGCCACTGGCTCCTGGCTTACTTAGTGTTTTGTATTCTGATTTTGTTATGTATGTATATATATATATATATATATATATATATATATTATATGCATGTATATGTGTGTATATATAAAAAATATATAAACAAATGTTATATGTATATGTATATATATATATATATATATATATATATGTTTTCCCCTTCCTTGACACACAAGAAAAATGTATTGATCCAAATAAAACAGTAATAATAACATTATGAACCATGACACTCTGATACCAAGTTACCTAATTTCTTGGGGCTAGGTCATATAAAAAGTGAAGAAAGAATGAGTGTTGTCATTAGACATAGCTAATGTGCCCTTAAGTGTCAGAATCATTGTTCAACTTCTTTATTGGAGCTCTTAGAGAAACAAAATTTGAACTGGAAAAGAAGATTTTCACAAGGATACCCAAGGAGTGGTGGACTTTCTTACCTTCAATGAACACCTCGGCAGAGGTTGAGTCGGAGCCACTAGTGTTTGTCGCCAGACAGGTATAGCGGCCAGTGTCGTCCTCAAAGGCCTCTGTGATGGTCAGGGTATGGAGGTCCCCGCCCTCAGAGCGAATCTGAATGTCAGGAGTGTTGTGTAGCTCCTTCCCCTCACAGAACCATCTGTAAGCCAAATGGAGGTCAAAGGTCAAGGAGGGTCCAGGAGGAAGGGATGATGTTTAAAACCATAAAGCATCAGCAAAAGAGGAGATGGTAGGCAGTCAGACACTCCCTTGATAAAAAGATCTGGGTCAATGTTACACAGGAACGTTTGACATTTTAGACTGTGAAATTAATGACTAGACAATTCCCCACAGGTTTTCGCTGGAAAACATCTTGTCCATTTTCTCCACCTTGACAGCATCAAACTTGGAAAGCCCATTTGGGTTACAAAGTGAAAAGAAAGGGAAACTCCAAGTGTCACCCCAAACGCTTGATAGTACATGTCTGTTACGTTGAGTACAATTTTATTTATTATTCTCTTCCAAAAGAAAGATTGAAAAAATCAAAACCGCATGCTGCAAACATCTAATATGTAAAGGGAGTCTTATCATGGTGATTACAAAATAATATCATAGGCAGCGATATTTTTCTTGACCCAAAGACTTCTGACCAGCTGAACAGGAACAAGCTTCCTGCCTTCCATACTTCTGAAATTTATAAAACTTTCGAGCAGAGTGTCTGGGCTTCCAAGATGGAAAGAGTTGGAGAAGCCAGGCTGTATTTCATTCTTTCTGGTCAGACATTTCCTTTCCCAAACAGCCAGGACCTTGGGTGGTAGGCTAGGCTGCCAGAGTACTTGAACCCAGGTGCCTTCTCACTCTTTCTTCTATTCCCCCAGCACCTCAAACTCTCAACAGCTTTAAATTACAATACAAAAAAAGAGAGAAAGAGTTTCTCCCAAACCCCCAAATGTGTGACTTATTTTAAAGAAATGTGTCGTAATATGCTACTTACAACTAACAGACATTGAAGCCTTTAGAACTATATTGTCCTTTAGTCTTCCTAATTAGCAGAAAATATTTTCCCTGAGTCTATTCTATAAAATGCTTTGGACCTGGCCAAACTCTTTGTTTGAATTTGATTAGATTAGCGTAAGTATTTGTGTATATTTATTTGAAAATGCAGCGAATGGAGCAAATGAGTTTGTTAATACTCAGAATATTAACACCAGAAACTAGTCTGAAATAAAATAATAGATAATCAGCAAACAACAGCTATGACTCTGAGAATTAATGAACACAAAAATAAACAGCTAAAAAATGAGTTTGTGGTAGTCACCAGACACTGTGTTGGGAATGAACTATACAACTTGGGGGTCGGATAGGAGGGAAAAACTGGGAGAGAGCAAAGAAAGGGGTGACTTTGTCCAAAAAGAAATGTACTCATGACCTGACTTATGTAACTGTAATCCCTCTGCCTATCACCTTTATAATGACCATTAGAAAATAAACAGGCCAACTGAACATTCATACAACACAAATGCAGCCCATATTATTTTGGGACAACTGAGAAGACCATCTCTTGATTCTGGGTACACTGGGTTCCAGTCTTGGAGAACCATTACGTTTAGAGCCATTGTCTAGTCCCTTTTGTCCAATGCTATATAGACCATTAGCTTTAGTTTTCATTGAGTTCTTCATCTCCAGTAAACAAATTCCTTCTATATTCTGTCATCAGATTAAGGCTCTTGAAACAAACTCTTCCCTTCCCACATCACTCCCTAAGCTTCAGATCTGTCATTAAGGCCTTTCACATAACTTGGACTTAATTTTGTTTTCTAATCCTCTATTTCTGTCAGAATATTTCCAGGGGCTTATGGTTCCTTGCCCAACCCCTAGGGTTGTGTAATAAGCCCCTGGATATATTTCTTCTCCTTGCAATTCTTTCCTTGTTCTCTTCATTAAGCCTGGTTAATAACTCTTCCTTCAGACTGAAGTCTTCTTCCGAAGATTAACTTCTGCCTGTGTGTTTTCTATGTGGAAGGTGTTGCACTACAGGCTATAAGTGATAGGAAAAATGATGCCTGGGAAACTGGGACACTGGGAAACTAATTGAGGAGTTTATATGTCTGTTCCCTTCTATGAGAGTACTTCTACTTTCCATTAAAAAAAGGTATAAACTCACTGCTCCAGAGGCATTAAAAATACAATGGAAATGTAAAAGAAAGATTAATTTCTAACAGTGAATCTACTTTGTAGGGAAGACTTGGCCAACATAATGAATGCAGTATTCTAACTCAGTATATTTATGCTCTGAAAGCCTATTTTGTATATGACTGTGAGCAAGAAATGTTTCTTATACTTTGTTTCGAGGGAGTCCTGGGGCTTGAACTCAGGGACTAGGTCCTATCTTTTGAGTTTCTTTCCTTTTTTTTTTTCGTTATGTCTTTTTTTCCCCAAGGTTGTTGCTCTACTTCTTGAGCCACAGCTCTACTTCTGGCCTAATTTGAAGGTAAAAGTCTCACCAACTTTCCTGAGTGGGCTTTGAATTGTGATCTTCAAATCTCAGCCTACAGAGTAGCTAGGATTACAGGCTTGAGCCGCCAGCTGACTTGGTTTTTATACTTTTAAACAGCTGGGAAAAAATACAAGAGAAGAATAATATTTTGAAATATTGAAAATTAAATAAAGTTCAATTTTTTGAGTCCATAACTAAAGCGGTCTTGGAATATAAGCATGGTCTGTCGTTTACGCAGTGACTGTGACCGCTTTTGTATTACAATGACAGAGTAGAGAAGTGGATGGAACATTCTGTCTGGTCCTAAGTGCCTGAAATAATTATATTTGGGTCTTTTTATCAAAAATTACTAACTCCTACATTTTGTTTGGAACTCTGAGCAGCCACATCTGCCTTACTGAAAGCTTGTTAAAGATGTACAATCTTATTGTAACCCCTCTGTACAGTATGTTCTCAAATAAAATAAAATTAAATTAAAAAAAAAAAAAGATGCACAATCTTGACCCCTATCCCAAATATATATCCGTTCAATTTCCCAGGTGACTTATGTGCATAAGAGTTTAAAGGCTGGGGCTGAAATGTGGCTTAGTGGTAGCATTCTTGCCTAGCATGCATGAAGCCTGAGTTCAATTCCTCAGTACCACATGAACAGAAAAGGCTGGAAGTGGTGCTTTGGCTCCAGTGGTAAAGTGCTAGCCTCAAACAAAAGAATCTCAGGAACAGTGCCCAGGATCTGAGTTCCAGTCCCAAGACTAGCACATATATATATGCTGACCTACTATGCTCTGGTCAACAAAAGCCTGCTTCCCAGAGTCCTAGCTCCTCATAGAGATTCTTTACTCCTTCAATACAACAACCATTTTCTGTGTTCTGTGCTTTCTGTCTTGGGTTCTTTACACATAGGTGCTTGCAAAATTGTGGGGTTTTTGTTCGTTCTCTTATCTCTATTTAAATTTTTTAGATCACTCATTTGACAATTGGTTATTTGCCACTTTTTAATATATTTATTCTGCATTTTTTCTTTGTATTTATGCCAAATATATGTATATCTTTTCAACATAGAAAATTGACTTCTTGGCTGACAAAAATGAATCTACTTACACTCTGTTGCACACAGCTGGTGATTTGAAAATATTTATTCTCTGCCATGCATTATCTTAGTCTTTACATACTTCCTAGAGAAAAACAGTGAAAGGATCTAGATGCTAACTGTTTTTTTGGCAATGCTACATGTTATATTTTGGTCTTTGATGTTTGAAATCCCAATAAGGCGCTGAAGAATCCTATAGAAGAAATTCATTTAATGTCTGACACAACACTTCTTAAATGTATTTGACCACAACATGTATCTACTAAAATCCTATGTACATTTTACTGAATACTTCTCTAGAATATTCCATGCAACTTTTTTTTAAATGTATGTATGCTGGTTCTGGGGCTTGAACTCAGGGCCTGGACACTGTCCCTGAATTTTTGTGCTCAAGGTTAGAGCTCTACTACTTGAGTCATAGCACCACTTTCCATGTTCTGATGGTTAATTGGAGATAAATCTCACAGACTTTCTTGCCTGGATGGCTTTGAACTGTGATCTTCAGATCTTAGCCTTCTAAGTTGCCTGCATTACACATGTGAGCCACTGGTGCCTAGCTTGCAACTTACATTAAAATTTTTCGGGGGGGGGCTGGGAAGGTGGCTCAGTGGTAGAATGCTTGCCTTGCATACATGAGGCTCTGGGTTTGATTCCTCAGTACCACATAAGCAGAAAAAGCCAGAAGTGCTGCTGTGGCTCAAGTGGTAGATCACTAGCCTTGAGTTGAAGAGCTGAGGGACAGCACCCAGGCCTACAGTCCAGGCCTCACAATTGACAAAAAAAAATTAAATTAATAACTTAAAACAAATTATAAACTGAGTAGTGATAGCTGAAAAATCAACAATAAACCCAACAATAAGCCCAAAATACTTCAATGTATCTGGCTACTTGCAGAAAGATTAAAACAACAAATGCATTTTCTGTGACAGTGGATTTAACACCATTTTTTTCTTTTAAATCAAACCCACAGAGTATAATTTTCTAACATTCTATTGAAACTTGTTGTTCATGTGCTTTCCCTAACCTCTTAATAGAGTGTATTTTTCCAGAATAAAGACTTCATCTGACTAACTCATTCACTAGATTCCTTCACAGTGTTTGGCATATGGAATGTATTAATCATGCCTTTTAATTTTCTGTAGTCCTGCTGCCCTGACATCTGGGGCCTTGCTGATCCTGGAGCCTGCCTCTCCCAGGGCTAAGCAAGTTCCTCACCTACAAGAAGTCTTCAATATGGATGCTAACCAACCCATAGGCCATATTCCCTCTCTTTCTCTACGGGCTTTTACCGAGAGACCATCTACCTGCCCTCATCTTCTCCAGATGATCAGGTACCAGACAATTAAAGGATAGCATCTGTGCCAAATCTATTCACCTGGGCTCACCTGTCCCTTCTTTTGACAGCCATGGATCTCCCCACTTCTTTCTTTCTTTGACTAACCTAGTGGGTGCTTCTCCCAGTGATTGGGGGCTATGCAGCCTTCATGTCTTCCTTCTTCCCTTTCTTCTCTCCCTCCCTGACAAGGTCTGGATGTATTTTCCAGGCTGGCTTTGAACTCCAGATTCTACTGCC